TTGCTTTTTTCCGGACCGAAGCGATTGAAATAGTCGTCTTACGAGTTCCATAAAGTTCAGCTGATGCAAAGTTGCCGCCGCTTCTGCACCCGGGTGAGATTGAAAATACAAGTAAATACCTCCGGTTTGAAGCATTGTAATCTATATAAAAAAAAGGCTAACTTCCGTGGGTTGCCGCGGTTGCTTGGTGATATTGACCAGCTCGATGCACGTTCTAAGGATACTACTTTGGTTGATTCTTTGTCGTGAACGGCAATCCATACAGCCATCCAGCCGTGACTTGCTGCTGCTCTGCTTCACAATTGCCTTTAAATCTTTAGCAACGAGCCGTACCCTGTGGCGCTATTTTTTGGATCAGATAGGCAGTCTCAAAATTAGCAGAAGCAGACTTCGGAAGCCCCGCAACTTGATTGTGTCCGGAGAAGAAAATTGGCAGCCAACCATTCTCGCATTGGGGATACCCTAGATAGACTCCGAATAGTAGTAGATACTCAGAATTGTGCTGGTTGTTAAAGTATCTGTACATTCCTTGTCTAACCGGAAAACGCATTTTATATGACAATGAACTTTCAGCTCAGCTCTTCAACTTATCAGCCATACACGTACAGCGACGGAGACGGAAATACATTGGTGGAGATGTCAGCTTCCTGCTTCCGTGTTCTCCAGGGCCTGTCTCTGCTGTTTATATTATCAGATTCTTCAAATACTTGACAGTGTGGGAGGATCTCTCCTCGAATTCCTAGACTAAGAGCTGTATGTGAACCACTTAGAGTTGCATGACATCTTGCTCTCGTTTGTAGACGTATGTTTCGATGTAGTACAGAAAACTGAGAAAGATACTTTTCCACTGCTTGTACTTCAGACTGCCCAACAATCCAGTCTCATTGACTACCAGTGTATGTTACTCATCGTAGACTGACTGATGGGTGGCAGAGGGGTTTTCGTCCGTCTTGTAGAATTATCCCAGGGAACAGAAAATTATTGTTGGGCTGTTCGCCCTTCATATATAATGTATTTATTTGACAGGTTTTGAACTCTCGGGCATTGTTTCTAAAACCTAATTCTGTTATAGCCATCAATAAGTAATCGAAAGACGAACAGCATCATGCGCACCACCAAGGCTAAGTGAATGTGCAACCCACCTCTGACAACGGAAATCATCTGTGAAGTTACATTTATTACCATAGCATGGTAGCACACAGTTCCTCCAATGTTACAGATGTCTGCAGTTGATAATCGGCACATACGGGCTCACAACACTCGCATCGCGTACGCTACATACAGGGTTTCTTATAAAACTTAGCAGCCGAAACGGATCATGACACTACGTATAGTATTTCCCGTGAAACCTAGCAGCTGAAACAGATTATGACACTACGTATAGTATTTCCCATAAACCCTAGCAGCTGAAACTGATCATGGCACTACGTATAGTATTTCCCATAAACCCTAGCAGCTGAAACGGATCATGCCACTACGTATAGTATTTCCCATAAATAGCAGCTGAAACGGATCATGGGTTGCATATTGGAAGTCGTATAGTACGTATCTCAAACTTTATTGGACGACAGAGCGTGTCTCGCTCCCACATCCAATCGACAATTGTTTTTATTTTGTCGCAACATATCTGACCCACTTGCCTACCCACTATATAATCTATAAACCCGACGGCGGGGCGGCTCCTCGAGGGTCGTACTCACATTTGATCGTCATGATCAGCATAGATGGGGTCACAGTTCACGCGTGAGTACTTCTTTCTTCTGCTATATCGCACATTCTGTTGCGTTTCATCGCCACTCAGCACTTCATGGTCCGATCGCTCTATGTATCGCGTGTTGGATCCTGTGAGCGTGTAGTTGACATGTGAGTAAATTTGGAAAGGAAGAAAGAAAGAACATAAGTGAGAGTATGTAAACCAAAATGAACTTTAATGATATATGCGTAGAGGTATGAATGTGTTAGAGCATGTGAGAGTATATATATATATATATATATACACATATATGTATATGTACATGTATATAGTAAA